ATGATAACCATCAAAACGCCTGCCATTTGATATAAATAAAGAAGTTTGAAGGAGTAATTGATGAAAGTGGGTTGTCGCTTCTTACAAAAGATTGTTTGAGTCAATTGTTTTTTAACGTAATTAACAATGTGAAAAGTTGTCAACGGTGATGGAAAAACTAGTCTCCTTTGCTAATATGAAATCCTCAATTATGCTTGCTTAGTTCGATCCATTGTTTTATTGACTCAATTAAGTTTCAAAGATGATAAGTCGTTTTCAAAGCATTCTAATTCCAACAATTACTTTGAAGTACTCTTTCTATGGGGAGAAATTGTCCACATTAGGTCGCATGAAAGGAAACAGCGATAGGAATTGACTTATGACATATTCTGTGAGGAAAGGCATTCAACTGAACTATGTGTTATAGTAAAAACATATTTCTTACACAATTATATATTTAAATTAAAATTTATTTTGCAATGAAGTAAGCCGATTCTAGATGAATAAACATAAATTGGATTTGCATTTCTCATAGGTGATTTGGAATTCGTTCCGTTATTCCACTCCTGTGCTATAATACATGTCATCGATCCGATTTTAGTTAGTTTGTTTTCTTTATAACATTTTCTCGTCAAATTGAAAAGCTTACCTTTCCCTATCTCATGAATTTAGTAAAAAAAATTGAAGCCGTGTCTAGCAGGCAATTGATCAGAAAGGTTTCCATTTTACAGCCCAGTGATGATGTGTTGACTCATTTAAAAGCTGAACGTGATGCCTTATAATGAAACAATGAAATGAAATGCGAGATTTAAGTGCATTGTGGTGCTGCCAGGAATTTATGCATTATAAATGTTTACTTAACACATTTCAATCTCAAATCCAACAATTAAACCGTATATTGGAGGCTGTAAATTAACAATTTTCTTCATGCGAAAACGTTTTGTCACTTTGAAGCAATTATCTTAGTGAAGTGTCTAGCTAAATGAATTTCCAAACATAAAATGTTGCATCAATGCAGTGACACCCAGTTTCTCCGCAGGACTAATAGGCGTCAAGTGACTAATTTATATTTAGAGTTCCACACAAGACCCAGAGTGACCTGTTAGATATTGCTTTATGTACACTCACTGTAAGCATATAAGCCACCATTGCAAACCTCCACATCACCACAACAATAAGAACCTATTAGCTATTTCATCCTCATTGGACGCCAGCTAACAAACCAGTCAGTGGGGAAAATTTTTCACTTTCTGTCCCCATCCATAGATTGAAAATAGGCAGAAGTGTGGGAGATAAAGCCTCTCTAATAAACGTTTTTTTCGATCATTCAAATGAACTAATAACCGAATAGTTGAGATGTTGGAGCGTGCTATTCAGAAATCCATATAAATATGTCAGTGTGTTGTTTGTTTGTGCCTCGTCTTCCATACTCTCCTCTCTAAGTCCAAAGGTGCTTAACTCCTAGAAGCTAAAGATGAAAATTCGACTTCATTGGGGGTATAAAAGGAGCTAAAGCTTGAATCCAGTATATGCCTTAATTTCTAGTCTATTTCGTATTATGGAAACTTAAGTTAAGAAATCCAAAATTTTATTCTTAATCTGCATTTTGAAGTCTGTTAAGTCGTGAAGGACGTTAGGAACGTTGTCACTGTTCCGGCTAATAAGCCTTATTTCCAAATAACAAATGGCTATTCCGAAATACGAAAATAATACGCATGCATCGAGGTCGTGTATAAATGGTTTGAACTCCTATTTACCCCTATCCACCCTGTCATGCTTGAATTTTTAATGCAAAGTGATTGTCTCAAGCTTTTATCTTTTCTCTAATGTGCGGTAAGGATGAGGTTGATGTCGCAGAAGATTATTTCTCTCAATGACAATGGAAGTCATTGGCACAGCCCAACTCATTAAAAATGGCTGAAAGCAAACTTATTATTTGCAATTGTATCATATATAATTGAGGCATAGGGCTAATGATAAATATCATAAAGCCTGCCATTTGAAATAAATAAATAAATAAATAATCGAGGCTTTAGAAATTTCCGAATTGAAGTAGTAATGAACCAAAACTATATTAAATGGGCAGCAATAAACGTTAATAGTAAAATTCACATAAAAACATGATCAAGCGAACATATTAAAATATCGGTCATACAATTTAATGGAATTTAATTTCGGGATGCCTTCATATTTTCACATTCACTCGAGATGTCCTAAATGCCAATTTTTAAGTGTAAATTTCAGTTACTGGTCCAGATTTCGCATAGTTTTGCATTTCTCTTTAATTGAATTTGAAAATCATCGTCTGAAAGGACATTTTTGTTATAACAATAATGTACTTCTATATGAACCGCTAAAGTTCGCCAAAGAATATGTTGATCTTACTGCCTTACTTAATAAAGCTCATAACAAATCAGGCCTAAATAATTAGAGCTTAAAATGTGGATTGTAAATATGAATGAAGCAAATTAAACAAGATAAGCCAAATATATTTTAAATAAAGACTAAAAGACTGAGAACAAGTTAAAACACAGAATATTTTCTATTTCATTTGATTAATCTTAACCACAATTGTTATGTTTGCACGAAATTAAGATAAAATTTACAAAAAAACGAAATTACTTGATCAGATATCAGGAAAAAGCCTATTTCAGGATGAGCAGAAGAGCAGGAAGGTGGGCGGGAAACGAAGCCAAGCGAGAAGAATAAAGAGCTATTTCAAGAAAATTCCTACTCAATCAGTGATACAATTTTTTATTTCAATTTTCTCCACTTCCACTTGAGAGATTATCGAAAATCATCCTCATTCCTAATTGGAAGGTAAGTGAACATCCTAGAGTCATTCCAACCACACTAAGCATAACACTCCATGATTGCAGATAGTTGTTGAAAAAGGCGAGCATACCACTAACCACAAACAAAGAACCGAAACCACTAGCTCCAATAGCAACGTATGCGAGAATCCTTCTCATGCGATCATCAAGAATCTGCAGGTACATCTGACACAAGTCGATAACAGCTGATGCGATGTAAAGAATAATTGCAATGCAGATAAGAGCACCAACCGGTTTAGTCGCGTAGCCAACGGTATTGTTTTGACAGGGTTCCGAAAAAATAGCTCCACATGGCCAACCTTCCAAAGCAACTGAGAGGATAAGGAAGATGAGAGCAAAGAGGGTGGTAACAATAAAGAAGATACTTTCTAACATGTCTGTTTGTGATAGTTCCTCGATGTGCAAGTCAGTCGAGTGAATGAGTGAAAGAGGAAATGTACTAGTTGGCACTAGTGAATAGAGAATCTATTTCGGACCAGGGTGTTCATTTGTGAATTGGTGCACGCATTCACTAACGCACGCACCCTGCTGCTTCTCCCACTACCACCATTCGCTCGATTATTACCAACACACTAGCTCACAAATGCACGTGAGATGCAAATTGATCGTAGGGGCATGATTTGCATATTCACAGAGGGCCGTTGGGAGGGTTGATGTTTTGGTAGTCTCACTCCGACTCACAGAGATCGCAGGCTTCTCGTTTGAATGATTTATCTATGCTGAACATCTCGAAATCATAACTTAAAAATAACTCTTCCCAACTTTAATTTTGATTTAGAAATGATAAATGTAGACCAATGCTGCAGATAAAGAGAAACATGCTGACTGTGGAAGTAGGTGGTAAGAGTTAGGGAGATAAATACCTGATGGACACTTAATGGAAGAAGTTTGTACTCGGACGTTGGGTAAAATTAGGTTAGAGCGTCTATTGATGTGTGAGTAAACATCCGTTGGAATAGTTAGAAGGTAACAGAAAACCCAAATGACAGTTTATGGATAAATAGAGTTTAATTATGAAGTTTGAGTCGTCCTGGGCATTTGATAGACCCGGCAAGCCTTAGCTCCCTCTTGATTGATATAAACTTAGCTCATTAACATACTGTCCTAAAACAAACCCTGATACCCTTGTAGTGTCCGTCATCTACAACTGGACGAAATTCAATTGCTCTTTTACAACTCTCATAAATGTCAATTCTCGAAGTAGAAGTCATTCTAATCAAGTCATCCGGACACACTCTTCATGACAATTGACAGTTAAATGGTAATTTGATAGCCCCGAGAGGCCTTACTTGGATCAAGTGACAATATTGGTGTACTTCTCATTGAGTTTTTAATAAAACCGTAACATCTTTGAATGTTCAAGAATGGAATGATCTTCAAAAAACCAAATGATATGGTGCAGAGATACGAGGACGAATCATTGGAATCATTAGGAGCATTCATCCAAAACTCAACTTCAATGATTCTATGAAATAAATGCGAGATTTTCTCTTTTGTACTTCGTAACTGAAGAACTATTTCAAAATAGAGTAATTTCCTTTAACTTTCCGCATAGAGCTCATATGCAAATATCTTCTCAATAATTCTAAACGTTTAGAATTCGATACTCAAATCACCCACATCGCAATCGTCATTGATCGCCTTCACTGAAGAGTAAAAAATTGGGCTGTGCTCTTGCGGATGTTGCACAACTAAGGCCTGAATGAACCTCAACACTTTTTTTCTGACAAAATCTTCTCAACAGTACTGAGAAGGCAAAGCGTTTAATGTGAAAAGCGATTGCAGCTGCTCCTCAGTCACTGTCACGGGGCTTAGTAACTAAAAATAATATAAAGGCTGCGCTACGCTGTGGTGTATACTGATCACTGGTCGGATGAGAAGTGTACGCCCTCGCAAACATGATTGCTGTCCATGTGGTCAGTAGCGCAGTCGCTTCCTCCAGATTTCTTGGGTGAGCATGAGGCTTCTTTGTTCAATCTTGGTTGCACTTCTCAAAGCCCCATCTTCATGTCGAAAATTCAAAATCACTAATGTCGGTTATCTTCAATTTATTTTCAATCATTCAAACGCAATTGATCTTCGTTTTGTGCCCTGATTTGCGAGCATTATTTCCCCATCCAATACACTATTTCTCGGTTTTCGGATTACTGCTTCTATTCACCTTCTCTATATAGGCTTAAATTACAATCAATATCAAAACATTTCATGGTTCCATGATATCTTAAATAGTTTGAAGTCAACTGCCTAGTTATAGACTTTTTTCCGTATGAGAATACGCTGCCTGGTGAAGCACCTTCACAGAATAGGAGTATACACTCAGCCAACATGCCCCCCTATGTGACCTACAGGAGGAAATGGCGAGGACCCACCTGATTCGGTGTCTATCTCTAATGACAACGACAGAAACTCGGAGATACTGGGAAGCCATAAAACAACTAACGAACTATAGTTAACTGTCCTAAAGCCTATATATATATGTTCCTCCTCCTTCCTGTGAAAGCCGAAGTCAACTTAGGGGCTAATGATAAATATCATAAAGCCTGCCATTTGAAATAATAATATCGTATATGCGCACCTGTTATTACAAATCTACTTATTGCTTTTTGAAAGATAACTCTCTAAATTGAATTACTGGGAGTTCTGGTAAATAGTCCATCTAACCTGCTCTTGGCTGATACAAACGAGGTGAACGGCATAGCCAGCTGCTAAATCGTGCCCACTGACCATAGAACTCTAAATGAAATTTTTTGGGTCAAATCATGAAAACTTAGGTTTGCTCAATTGAATCAATTGAACCCCCCAACGTGACAATTTAGAGTCCTCATTTACTTTTCCACTTTAGTACTCATGGGACATTTTCGCAAGGTCATTGGTAAGAATGATAAAAACTGCGAATTAACTCATGATTCACTATCGTCGGATATAACGACAAAATGATTTATAAAGTGCATGCAATCGTTACACCGTTATCCTAGAATCACGAAAAAGTTGCTGTCATGTGAGAAGTAATATTGCCATAAAACTTTCCACTTTCACTGTTTCACATGACTGTAAATCCCAAGGTTACGTGATTGTTTGCTCTCTATCCAAAAGTTAGTTTCTTCCCAAAAAAAACCAGAAAGTGAAACATTAATGAAGTTCTTTTCATCAATCATCTATCTTTAATTCGCAAATGTTTAAATTTAAAAAAAGTGTTGCCCAGACATACATTTCTTTAGAATGAATAGAGGGCAGTAGATTTGCCTTTAAAACGAAGAGATATTAATGCAGCTTGCTTTCGATATTTCATCCTTAATTCTGGTATCATGCTCTACAAAATTGGTGGTACTTAGGAGTATAGAAGGAAGTAAGATGACATTATAGCCAATCACTTCAATGTGATTTTCCCTTTTTATCCAAGGTTGTAAAGATTTGAAAGACGATCAGGCAGACATTGACTAAATACAGCAGAGATAGTTAAACTGATCAAATTAGTATTTAGTTCTCCAAATAAACAGTCGACTCTTCAAAGATTTGTGAGGTTGTGGTACTACTTAGAACAATTGCTAAAGGGAGCGTCTATCAACATTGACTCGATGGAAGATATGGCCTTAGTGACTGAGAGGAGTGTTTACAACATCGCGTTGGAAGGCATTACAACTCTCTATCCGTTCATAGCTCATGCCTTTTTATAACCATAGTCCTGGACAGGTAGGTAGAATTAAAGCGATCAGTAGATTTAAGCTGCTAACCACGGTTTAATGGCCACTTTAGCTCCCATAAGCTAAGACAGTCACGAAATCTAGTTGCTATTGCCAATTTCAAAATAACAAACTGTTGATTGATTTAGAATTCCGAAATCAGTAATTTAAGGCAACGCTTACAGTTATTCTTAATTGATTTGATTATGTAGTAGATAGATTGGAGAGATTAGTTAACAAAACCCAATATTGAAATTTAACAAAGCCAATTCGACATTAGGCGAGGTTGTAATAAACCAAACAACCGACTCACTATGGAGTTTGAGAATCAGTTTCTCGAGTTAAAAGATGATGAAGATTTCTAGTAGAAGTGAAATAATTCTCATACAAAATCTTATTACAGCATTTTATAGTAAAGTCCGGAGTGAACTAAAAGGCTGTAAGTGAGCGCCTTTTCTTAATGGAATTTTAATACACACTTTAATGCTATATGCGTTCTTCTTGTATTATTTTGAAACATAAACCCTAGTTTATACTTAAATTATTTAATTTATTGTATAAATATAGTGGTTATATCGAATTTGAAGTGATCATTTAACATTTGTAATTATTCTCAATGAGGAGGAACCTATGTCAACTGTTAGGAGCGCCTGGTGATTTGATGCACATGATTCCCACTGACAATTTCATTAATTAATAATGCATCATTTTAGATCATAGGACTGGAATTGTAATTTATTTTGCGCTCATAGGATCAAAATGCGTTTCTTTTAAGAATTTTTTCTTACTCGCTTAATATATAATTAAAATCTGCAGCAAAGCAAAAATTGAACAACTTTTCAAGATGGGAGAGCAGCTGGAATCCCTTAAAGGTGAGTTTAAAGAGAAATAAAAGGAGGATCACAGATAAGATGAAAGTTTATTTATATCAAATGAAAGACGTTTTGATGGCTATCATTAGCCCTTTAGTTGACTTCAGGCTTCACAGAGGGGAAGGAACATTAAAGTGAAAAAAATGTCGAGAGGGGGGGGGGACAGAAGAGTGTTTCAAAGATGCAAAAGAGACAAACGCAAGGGTAGAAAAAAGGTGAGATGAGTACTGTGAAAGTAGTCGAATATGACATACAGTGGGGTGATGGTAGTTTGAAGTCAGAAGTCAACTACCAATTAAAAGACTTTTTGCCGTATGAGTATACGTTGCCCAGGGTGCACCACGTGGAGGTAGGTCTATCGCACACTCCTTAGAAGTTGAAAGTAAAATCCAGCCGACGGGGAGTCTTTGTTCATTTGCTTTTCGAACCCACCCCATTGGCTGGTAACGTTATAAGATGCATTTAGTGTGATTCTGCTCCTGGAGTGATGAACAAATTGATGTCTGCAGTGTGCTGTACTTACAGATAGGTTATTTAGTGGATGCTCTCTCTTGACACTTCATTGTCGAGAAAAAAGAGCGAGATCACACTAGTTTAACATAGTGGCGACGCGATAATGGGTATAAATTGTCATGTCATTTCTAGTAACTCAATATAATAGTGCCTCGCTTGTATATGGGGTTACTCAAAATAAAGGAACTTGTCTGAAATTAACGAAACTATTCGAATTAATAATAATTTCTACCTTTCAACGAAGTAATATTGGCAAGAAGCCAATTATAACTACGTTTTGGTATTAAGAACGAAATGTTAATTTGAAGGA